TAATATATGACCTTACTTTTTCCGTCCCTCCCATATCGCATCTAGAGTTGTTCCCATTCGAGATCTTCCGAGAACCATTGGTCGTTATTGCCATAGCAGATGGAGCCGAGCTACCTGGAGAATATCAGGAGTGTGAAAGAGATTCAGTCACAAAGTCTGGCGATCGAATGCAACCCGGGCTAGACGAGTTGTTGGACGGACTTCGCTTGATCAAGGAGAAAAACACACGGGCTCTGGTTCACCAGCTCATGATTTTTGACCGTGAGGGAGTGAGCAAGCTTTCGAATGGTCCTGATGGTATCATGTGGGTTCCACGACCTGAAGCGTCCAAGGCGACCACGATGAAGACTGCATTGTGTGATATCACGTCGGTACTGCTTTCTGAGCTTGACGAGTTCGCGAAGACGATCCAGAGCATTCCATTTATTGAATCTCCCAAGGCCTCATCTTGGGGGCCTCACCGTGGCCCAGACTTGCGCGCAAGGCCTGCCGACAGGCTGGTTCACCGGATGACCCTGCCTGCGCATCTCCCATCCCACCCCAACGATGCACCAGAGACTCCTTTAGCTTCCAACAAGAGCTCGCCTGGTCCAAGCGAGCATGAGACACCAACAACCTTTGATGAAATTACACGGTCTATCCAGTTGGCTAATCGCGCAAGTACCATTGGTAAACCCAACTCCCTGCCAACGTCGAAAGAGCATAGCCGTGATCGGATGTCAGTGAGCGGAATGAGTGCTACTGATCGCACGAAAAACCGGATCAAAGGTCGTACGGGAGTTGTGATTGGGTCACTCTTTCTTCAGACGGGAAGATGGCCAGACGCTTTGAAAGAGTTGGTAGAAGCTGCGACAAATGCCAGGGCAAGCAGTGATTATGTTTGGCATGCCAAGGCTCTGGAGTCCATCCTTCTTTGTCTTCTCATGTTCGGATGGGCGGGCATGGATTTCCAGGTGCGTTCTATACCCTATTGCGCGACTTTTTGACTGCATCCATTCCACTGATCCCTGTGCGTTAGATACCTCCGATCTGCTACCCGGTCGCCGATAAATCCTCCAAAGCAATCCAAAGCAGTGCTCTCGAAGTGGGGCAGTCTACACCTGGGAATCGTATTATCTCCCTTCAAAATCTTGCTAATCTCTTACCCGACCTTGCGAACAATATCCTTCATCTCTACAATCGTGCCTCCAACATCACAGATGAGCCGGTGCCCCAACTTGTCTTTTCGGAGACTGTGATCCGGCTCTCAAGATTGCTGGTAGCCGCGCGAATACGCGATGGCGCTCTGGACGACAATGCTTTGAAGCACATCGTAATGAACGAGCCTTTGGTGCCACTGCATCGGCCAGAGCGTCCTCGTGGCTTGATCATCCTCCGTCGGTCAGAGATTGCGAATTTCCTGTTCCGTGCTTTGCCACTTTCGCCTAGCTCAGATCTGCCTGCAACAGATACTATACCAATTATCGTTGGAGTTGTGTCTGTATTGAATGTGCTTGATCTACCGCGAAAGAAAGCATTCATTTTGCGAGAATTCCTTTCAATAATAGTTCCAACTCTCGTTCAGGCCCGCAAAATTGGTGCAGCAGAAGTTGGTATTCATCCCGCCGCTGGGTTGGCGTCGCTCAGTGATACAGCATTTGATATCAACGCTCTTGATGTTGGATCAGGTAATATGGAGAGTAGTATGCGTGCTCTTTTGGGCCTCATAGGGGAAATATATGGTGTTCAACCATCCTCATTCTATGAGTGGGAGAAGAAACGTTCTTCGACTGCGAGTGGGACGGAACCATTTCCTGAGTATGACTCTATCACTGCCATTATTGAGCGATCATTTCGCCATGTGGCTCTGGACAGATATGGTGACTTGAACTTGAAAATAGACGCTCTCAAAGCGTGTATCAACTGCTGCGAGGCCCTGCCTGATTTTACTGGTGTTCTCCGGTTCACAGTTGAACTGCTTCAAACCATTCGGGGAGACCTGATGCTTGCTGAAAATTATTATCAGCCTCCGTTTCTGCCGCAAGACGAGCAGGTTCGCTTATTGAACAATATTAAGCGAACAGTCGGCGCTGCTCACAAGCTTGGCGCTTCGGATCTAGAAGCAGAATACTGGGATGACTTCCTCGTGCGTGACGTACGGCTCCTTGCTCTGCCTGACCCTAAGAGACCTGTTCGTCGTTCCAGGTCACATCTTGACGCGGTCACGGTCAACAGCGACAAGCCTTCAAAAGACCCATTCTTATATAACCCATTTTCTAAAACAAACAGTAAAATCTCCGAGTCGCTCATGATCGCTGGTGAGCATGCAGCATTCACGGTTACTCTTCAGAACCCCTATGAGTTTGAAATCGAGATTGAACGGATTCGTCTCCATGGTGAAGGTGTGCCATTAGATGCTGTTGCAGAATGGATAATACTTCCACCACTTTGTTTACAAGAAGTGACTGTTATCGGAAGTGCCCCTACAGAAGGGACAGTTAATGTCACCGGCTGTATTGTCAAAGTTCGACATTGCAGGGAACGCAAATTCCCGATATTCAAGGAATTCTGGAAACCAGAGATTGAGAGGAAGTTCAAGCGAACAGGTCTAGCTGCTAAAATACCTTTGACAGATCGGCCACTGTCTTGGAGCTCAACGACTTCGAAAGATGGAAAACAGCAGCCGAAGAAAGGCCCTGAGACAAGTTCCTGTGAAGTCAAAGTCATTGGCCGACAACCGTCCCTTGTGATTGAATCGATGTCATTGTCGCAATCTGCGATGATGGTGCTGGAGGGAGAAACCCAGTCCTTCAACATCACGCTGCGCAACACGTCAAGATGCCCCCTTGACTTCATAACTTTCACATTTCATGACTCTACCACGAGACATATTCAATCAGCGCTGACAAACAAAGACCTGTTGCCGGTAGAAGTGTATGAGCTGGAGCTGCAGTTATCTATGAAACCAGCCTTGCGGTGGCGCCGACAGGATTCTTCACCGGACGACCTTGTTATTGCTGCGGGACAGAGTGCGACGTTTTCTGTCGACATCGTTGGCAAACCCGGCTTGCAAGATACGACTGTGCAGATTGATTATTCTCATATTGGGCTATCCAACGGCCAATTACCGGAGGTGTTCTACACGCGGCAGTTGTTCATACCGCTTACCGTTACGGTGAATGCTAGCATCGAAGTGGCCCGTTGCGACATCCTACCTTTTACCGGTGACTTTGCGTGGTGGAACAGCCAAGGTTTGGAGCTGGACTCTGTCCGGAACAGCACCACTGACAGCGACCCATTTGCCCCAGTGCTATCTCAACTGGGGCGAGGAGCATACGGGCACGACCACTGCATCTTGCTACTTGATCTGCGGAATGCCTGGCCGAATCCTTTGTCGGTTTCTTTACAAGTGAGCGAGCAGCCAATAGGAGAGGTTTCGGCGGAGGAGCTCGCTCTCAAGGTTGGACAGTACACCATCTCCGGAGACCTTCAGCCGGGTCAGATTTCGCGCTTCGTTCTTGTCCTCCCTCGTGTCTACGTGGACAATCCGCATGCTTCGATACCGGTTCTGAATACTGGAATCAAGAGGCAGTTCGTCGTGAGTGCAAACAAGCTCACCTTCGAGGCAGAAGCAGCGTCACGGGAGGCTTTCTGGTTCCGGGAGGAGCTGCTCAAAAGGGTTTCTGGGGTTTGGAAAGAAAGCACCACGACTTTTGGCCACAAGGGAGTTATTGACCTAAGAGGCATGCGAATGAACGCGCGGATGGTTGACGCTTTTCGACTCGAAGCCATCGATATCAGCTTTTCCCTGAGCCCCTCCTTTCCGAAACAGGAGGCATCCTCCGGTGAAAAAAACAATGATGTGATGCGGATTGGACGCTCAAAGTATAAGGTACAGACTGACGAGATGCTCGATCTCACCGTTACCGTCCGGAACCGCTCCTCGAAGCCAATCCATCCGCTTCTCCGGCTCCAACCTAGTCTTCGCCACCAACCTAGTAACGTTGCTCTTGATCTTTCGAGGAGGCTGGCCTGGACCGGCATGCTGCAGCAAGTGCTGCCTATTTTGCGCAGTGGAGAAAGCACTAGTGTCACCATTGGAGTCACTATCTTCTGCCACGGAGAGTATGAAGTTGGCGCAAGTATTGAAGAAGTGCGAAGCCTGAGATCGACGCCTGGCTTCGAAAAAGATCCTAAGTCAGCTGATGATGCGCCCGCACTACACGATGATGAGGTCATCAGAGACACATTTGGATTAGACGTTATTCGAAGAAGACGAATCTGGCATGCCAAAGAGACATGTGTCATGCATGCTTGCGATTAACAGTGTCATCCTCCTCTCACTGTAAAGATTCGCGGCCCTGGGACGACCTGGTTTGACGACAGCCATGAACATGTGTATGATTACTCCTCAACTTCGCAATTTTGAATTGTATGATTGAAAAGTCGCGTCAGCTGCTTCAGCGTTCTAGTTGAGGTCTACTATGGATTGGTCTCTCTGACCTGTGTATATATAATCTGGTGGTTGCTTCTTTTATTGCACGGGGACAGGATCGAAAACCTGTGCTATGAACGATGTATATGGTTACTTTGTTCTATAAGCATAGAGTCCACATTGTACATGCGGCAATCTGGAAATGAATATATACATATAATCATATAGTCCATGTATTCCGTGCGAATCGTAAAACTCTCCTGAGATCAGAATCCATAACGCCAGCACGCCTTACAATGGAAGGAATGCAACATGCATTTGTATATATGACGGATCTCAGAAGTTCCCAAGCGGCAAAGTGCTTGGCAGGGACCAAGGGGATCATAATAGACCCTCCAGGAGAGCCCTTCAGGAAAGGGGGAGTGAAGAGCCTTACAATGGCTAGAGGGACTCACAGCCGCTCAATCAGAATCCTCACGATGGAGCTGGATTCGCGTCCTGCCTTATCCTTGTCTAAGGTGGAGCGGAAGAACCAACGCTCCAAATAAAATATGTGACAGCCGCAAAGGACAAAAGCCATGCTCGATCAGGTGGCCATTTCACAATCCTGTTTGTCCCTGCTCTCCGTTGATGGCTTGTCTTTCCCAGTAGAGGAGCCCGGTTGATCGCCCACCGGGAAGCTGAGATACTTCCAGTCTTCGATCTCCTCGATGATGCATTTGAGTCTGTCGCGGATGCTCTCGACCGCGTAGGTTCCCAGGATCAATCTCAGAGGAGGATAGGAGCAATGGCCCAGCTGCCAAACTAGATGGGCCGCCTTGACGGCACTGGCGGGCTGCTTATCAGCCAGCCACATCAGCATGCGCTTGGCATGCGCCGCCGGTGCCGTGGGGGTATTATATGGCTCGCTGGGCTGCTTGACAAAGAAGTGGCCGTACAGCGGCAGCGGCGATGTGAGGTTGTGCTCGTTATTGGCCATGGCAGCGGTGTCCGAGACCAGGTCCCCCACGTCGTCGCGGCGCATATGGCCCGGTTCCACGAGAGTACCCTTGATATTGAAACTGTCCACCTCGTAGAGCATGCTCTCCATCAGCCCCTCCACCGCGTACTTCGAGGCGCAGTACGGCCCTAACCCGGGCACCCCCAATGCGCCCGACGTCGAGCTGAAGATCAGATACCGGCCGGACCGACGTTCGCGGAAATGCGGCAGCGACAGCTGGATCATGTTCAGGGTTCCGGTGAAATTCGTCTCAAACTGGTCGCGGATCTCGTACTCGTCCTGGTCCTCGCATGCGCCGATCACGCCGTACCCGGCGCAGTTGGCGACAATGTCGATGCGGCCGAAGCGCTCGATGGTCCGGTCGATGACCCTTTTGACCGTTTCGCGCGCGCGCACATCGCATAGGAGCCCGAGACAATTCTCATGTTCCTCTTCCAGCTTCTTCATCGATTCGGGGCTGTTCTCGAACGTGCGTCCGACCGCTGCCACGAGGTCATTGCGACATAGGGCGGTTTTGACAAGCGAACGGCCCATATGGCCTGTGGCACCGAAGATCTACCGTTCCAGCACATCAGTCAGTTGGGGAAAATGCCAGTATAACAGGAATAGTCGTAGAGATCTCATTTCTTGTACCAGCCATACGAGTTGCCTAGGCGGGTTTTGCGGCCCTGGGGGATCGGTTGTAGAGGGGAGCTGGAGTTTCGGTTCTCGGGCCGCGGATGCAGAAGGCGACAAGGCATTAATGGGCTTGGGTGGAGAAGCATGGATATCCATCGAGGAGTAATATTGATGCTCCGGGATGTAGGAGCCAGGCGACTGTGTCAACGACATGGCTGCCAGGTGCTGATTGCAGTTGGGAGTGGTGACAGTAGTGATGACAGTAGTGATGACAGAGGTTGATGGGATCTCCACATTAGGAAAATCCGGGGTTGACACAACTACGCACACGATACAGGCATAACGGCCATGCTTAGCAGGCTGACTTATTTTCCCAGCGAGTAAAGGAATTTGACTGTTACTTCTTAATGCCTCTCGTTCTATTCATGAACTGGTGAAATTACTGGCATCGTCAGGGATATAATAACTAATTACTTTAGCAGAGTAATGCCGCCATTAATCAACCGCCAGCGCCCAACGACGAACTGTAAAACAGAGACAACGCAATCGGCATCTATCGTCCGATCTCTCTTCGAAGCCGTCCAGCGGCTGTGGAAGGGCCAGGCTCAGGCCACCCACTCACAGCATCATCAACTTCTTCCAAGAAGGAAGTACTGTTGTGGATGGACGTTCCTCCCAATACCACACGCACTCCAGGTGAGCTGGCGTTGACTTGGGCCACCATCTTGGCCTCTTCGTAGGTTGCGCCACCGACCATAAAGATGATGATGTCCTGTGGCTTCTCCCGAATGTGGCCACTGCCTTCGAGGAAGGGGTACTGTAACTCTTTCAATTTGCCTTTGATCAGATTTTGTAGGGTCACTTCGAGTCGCGGTGAGTGTTGTGTATATACATTCTCGACACCTTTGAGCCCCTTGAAGCGGTCCCGAGCGCCCGAGAATAACGAAGCTGATTCGAAGAGGTCCGAGAAGCCGCCCGCAACAGGGGGCGCCTGGAGAGAATGATGATAGGCAAGAAGCTTGGGTATGATATTGACTTTGTAGGAGGGAACATCCCCTGCTGTGACCAAGAGGTCAAGCAAAACCGGAAGGGCATTGGAAGGCTGCTTTTCGTATCGGAGGGCATACAGGGCTACCAAGCGGATCTTGTTCTCCGCCGGTACCGTGGGTAGTTGAATGATTCTCTGCAGTGTCTACAAAGCAATCCAATGAGTATTGACTGTGCTAAATCTCCAAAGTTTCGCGTCGCGACATACCTTGAGGTCATTCGTGTGGTTGTCATTGCAGGCCAAACTCTGCTCCAACTCACTGACGTCCAGTAGGTTATCCTCACCAACTCGCCGGCTGAGCTCGCCGACCAGGGTGACGTGCTTGCTCACATTACCCGAGAGTTTGCGAAACTCGGGGTAATCTTCCACGAAGCGCTTCATGTCTGCAATGGACTCGATGTTCATGGTGTTCTGAGTCTTCACCTGATACTGCTCGACATACTCCTTGATGTTCTGACCCAGGTCGCCAAAATTCTGATACATGTTCTTCTTAAAGAACGGATCTTGATCCTGCGAAAGGACGATCTCCCGAAGCTCGGGTCGAATGTCAGGCACATCACGCAGGCCTACTCTTCCGTTGTTGATTCCCAGTAATTCGTGAACCATCGCCTGGTATGTCCACTGGGTCAACAAAGGCGTGATGGGGTCATCCCTCCGGTCTAGAATAAGCAGAATAGGAGGCGTGTCGGTCTTCCTGAAATTGAACAACTGCTCCTCCTGAGTCACCTGGTACCGGACCTCTGTAGCTAATTTCTTAGCCAACAAGCTGTTCTTCTCGTAGCGGATCAGGGGGTTTTTCTTGAGAGCCAGCAACATGGCAATCACGCCTTCCGTCGCTCTTTGCAAAGCGTCTGCATTCCACAGGTCCGGCGAGTGGCTCCACAATCGCTGGTAAGGAAACCCGAGGTTCAGGGAGCACAGGTCCGGATTGATGACAAGGAAGTCGGCAAAGTGCTCCTGAACCACGCGCACCACTTCATGCCCATCTGCTTCCGCCAGTCGCTCCAAGGAAGACTTGCGAATGATATTGCTAAGATAAATATGATACTCTCCGTACTTGGGGTCACGAAGCTCGTCGATGAGGAATTGGATGGAAGTCGGGGACGGGCGCACGAAGCACAGACAACGCAGATGTCGCATCTTCTCCCGGGCGGCATTGTCCAAGCGATCGATCAGGTATACTTCATGACTCAGAAGGGCTGATTGTGTGATAGCCGTCGATACAATGGGCATCTGTGCATCGTAAGAGTCAGCCTCCAGATTGAAGTTTCACCGCACTCGGCAGTAGAACGCAGATCCCACTGTCTCACTGTCGAGAAGCAAGATCTTCATCTTGGTCGACGATGAAGATCCCGTAGCCGATGCTGCATCCCCCGTTGTGACCATCTTGGAGATGTACCCGGAAACTGCAGCAACGACGTCCATGATTGTGGTGATGATGCAGCCCAAGAGGGCGCGTTGGCTAGGTGGGGGGGTAATGAGATGTTGGATACAGCAGATCAAGCAAGGTAGAAATGCCGATAGATGAATCAATAATTATCCAGTAAAAGTACCCCTGATATTGTAGCAGTAGAGTGAGCTGAGCTGGATGCGTCATCACACGCGTTGATCATGAGCAGAGAAGACAAGGACAGTGATGGTCGAGAGCCAAGCATTAGCCAGGTGAAGCTCTCCACTCGTGATGATTTCATGCCATGTGCTTCTCTCTTCCTGTATCAATAGGTGCACACATCCTTTTCGCATCCATGTCGCCCTAGATTGGTCCTCCCCCTAGATACGGATCTTCTCCGTCCTTCTCTATCTTTTAAAGACCTTGACCTGGAAGTGCAACTCCAATAATGTTGCCTTACATCGATACCAGTATGTGGAAATGCCCCCACCGCCAGATCTCAACAATTCGCATTGCAATCGAAATACCTCAAAGAAAGCAGAAACTGATGACGAGTCATGTACAGTATTCGGCTATCCTGCAAGGCTCACAGGAGCTTCAGTGGACGAGCGTAAGATATCTCCCCAACTTCATCATAGCTCTGTTAACGGTTGTTTTTTTTTTTTTTACCTCGGAACTACAGTCAAGCTTATTGCATCATTCCTGCTCTCCTACCCTTTGGCCGGTCTGCTTAAGAGAATCCCCGACGCTCAACCCTGGAAGAAAAATGTCTTCATTATTGTCGTTTCCTTGTTCTATCTGGTCGGTTTATTCGATTTGTGGGATGGTCTGCGCACTGTGCTCTACAGCGCTGCTGGCACGTACGCCATCGCGTACTACATAGACGGCTCGCTGATGCCATGGATTGGCTTTATATTTTTGATGGGCCATATGTCCATCAGCCACATTTACCGGCAGATTCTTGACGATCCCCAAGTGATTGATATCACCGGCGCACAGATGGTGCTCGTCATGAAACTTTCCTCCTTCTGCTGGAACGTTCACGATGGCCGTTTACCGCAAGACAAGCTGTCAGACCCGCAAAAGTACGCTGCTATCGCACACTTCCCCAGCATCCTAGACTACGCGGGATATGTCCTATTCTTTCCATCCTTATTTGGGGGTCCGTCTTTCGAATATGTGGACTATCGGCGGTGGCTTGATACGACTCTTTTCGAAGTGCCCCCAGGAACCGATCCGTCCAAGGTGCCTCCAACCCGGAAGAAGCGCAAAATTCCCCGCAGCGGTACGCCTGCCACCAAGAAGGCTTTGATGGGTCTGGGATGGATCTTTGTATTCTTGCAATTGGGCTCTCTATACAATAAGGAGACGGTGCTTGGAGAATCCTTCATGAGCTATTCTTTCCTTCGACGAGTTTGGATTCTTCATATGCTCGGATTCACCACACGAACGAAATATTACGGTGTATGGTCTCTTACCGAAGGTGCCTGCGTTCTGTCTGGACTCGGATACAATGGCTTTGATCCCAAGTCCGGCAAGGTCTTCTGGAACCGCTTGGAGAACATTGACCCCTGGAGTCTTGAGACGGCCCAAAACTCATATGGATACTTGGGGAGCTGGAACAAGAACACGAACCACTGGCTTCGCAACTATGTTTACCTGCGTGTGACGCCCAAGGGAAAGAAGCCGGGTTTCCGAGCCAGCATTGCCACCTTCACCACCAGCGCTTTTTGGCACGGGTTCTACCCTGGCTACTACATGACCTTTATCCTGGGGTCTTTCGTCCAAACAGGAGCCAAAAGTAAGTATACAGCCGGTGCTTTCCTCTCATTCTCTGGAGGTTTCCGCTCATCTCATTGCAGACTTTCGGCGTCATATCCGTCCGTTCTTCTTCACTCCTGATGGCGCTAAGCCTCTGCCTTCCAAACGCTATTATGATATCTTCAGTTGGCTTGTTACCCAGCTCACCATGAGCTTCGTGGTGATGCCGTTCATCTTCCTTTCGTTCAGCGCATCCATTCAGGTCTGGCGGAGCGTGTATTTCTACGGCGTTATTGGAAACATCCTATCCATCATCTTCTTCGCGAGCCCCGCAAAGGGCTATCTCATCCGAAGCTTGAAGAAGCGCAACAAGCCCTATATTCCGCGGACTGTTAGCATGGAAAGTATCCAGCAACCGACCCTGGGTCTGCCGAATGACCCAGCTCGAGAAATCGACGATGCGGTCCAGGAAATCAAGGCCGAGCTCGAGGCGCGAAGAAGACGTGGCAGTGTGGTCAAGATGCCAACCGGCGAGGAACTGAAGGCCGCTGTGGAAGACAAGCTTGGTCGGAAGATCTCCTGATGACTCTTCGCGTTGGTTAGAAGTATGCGGCACGGCAGCCGCAGCTCTCGACTAGAGATTTCCTGGCTCCATATCATCCCGTGGCGGGACCTTTAGTCGATCACTATCACCGTTCGGTTTAACTCGTCTTGGACGACGAAACGATTAGATTCACACGTGAGTATACCTGTATGTACTAGACTTTACTACTTTTCTTAGCCCAGCAGCTCTCTCTTTGCTTGTTGCTGTGCGCTTGCTTTGCTTTTCCTCACTTTCTGGTTATCCTATAATGGGGGTTTATTTTTATGAGCCGAGGTGCGAGAGAGGATTGGATATCATATAGCCTGACGTCGTTAAATGATAATTATTTCACAGATTTCAAGCTCTTAGCATTGCGCGTGCAAGCCAGATCATGTTGCTACAGATTTCGTCCTCATAGTAACTTGAGCCGAGGTTCATCTGAAGTGTGTCTTCATTGGGCATGGTCCTAAAAGGTGGATCTAGGTCAGGCTCCAGGATGCAAAGCTATGTACATGAGTACGGTACATGAATCTCAAAAAAATAAGGTGCAATGATATATAGGTCCAAAGAAATGGCATATATCCGTAATCGGTTCGTAAACCCTAATTATTCCATCGCCTGGTGCGCTAAAGCTGGACCACTGATTCGCAGTGGGCGCATCGAAACACCGTCACCGAGCGGCAAATTAGGCATGATCAGAAAGAAAGTGAAATGCAAGAAGTCTAAACAAAACATTATATGCATCGTGTCGTGTCGTACAATCGTATCAAGTTGAGTTTTCGGTTTCGGATGAAGGCGAACCAAGCAGACCAGTACCGGGAGCAGAAGATGAAGGAGGTCAAAAGGATATGGTGGGATGAAGAGAGTCAACTCCCGAGTACCGAATGATAAAATGGTCATCGATCCAATCGACAAGGTGAAGAATATCAGGCGTAGCCTGGGGAAATGATAGGCCGACCGCCGGGGTGAGGGGATACAGGACAGGCCGAATTTGAAGCGCATAGAGCAGTTGCATCTTAGAAGCCCACTGTAGTGCCGACGACAGCCAGCGTTACCTGGAGGGCTAGTTAGTCGCGGATTAGAGATAGATATACTGCTTAGTAGACTTACAACAATGGCAATAATCACCAACCCTAAAGGAGTCATCCATCGATTGAGATTTCTCCACCATCGAGCATTCTCGTAACGTCTTCGCCCAAGCTCATGAAGTCGCATCTTGAGGGCCATCTCAAGTTCGGGTCCGTTCTCGTCCACCACTGCATTTGGCTTTTCCGGCAATGGGAGGAATGCGGCGATAAACCAGGCTAAAGCGCGGCGTTGTGAGCATTTCGCTTGAAGGAGGGTCAGGACGACCAGTGAACTTACCAAGAGGAAAGACGAACCCCAGGCAAAAGGACCATACTTGCATGTTCCTTCGTCCCAGTAAGGGCTCTGTCCGAGAATCCATAGAAGGCGCGGCCCATGACTTGCCTTTTTGCCCAACAGCCCGCCTATCGGGATACAAGTGCGGTGACCAACTGTGCCGTAGGCGGTTGTTAGCGGTATCCGATTTCTCGTTGGTCTCTAGGCCTTTGACCCAATGGCTTCGAGGATCGCGGGGATCATGCGGGGCCATCCAACGCACGCTCCCAATCGTTTCATTAGTATGAGCTCTCGATCGACCTGAAGCTGTTGGAATGTACTGTAGAGCCTGCGAGTTGGACGTAGCAGGGCGGGCAGAGGGCGGGCGGCTACCATCAATTACCGACAGCGCAGGGTTCACGTTCTGTCCATCCAAGCCATAGTACATCTTGGCCCAAGTCGGGAGCATGTTGTAGACAAAGCTTGAGCTAGTCCCCGGTCGCTTATTACTGTTACTGCGCAAGCTACTTTTCCTCGACTCCGAAGAAAGACTGCTTGGAACAGCTGAGTTGGTGGGACGAGCTGGTAGATTTGACAGATGGTCCAGATGCTCATCTCTTTCTGAGTCGCTTACCAACCATAACGAGGACGATCCCGGTCTCTGGCGGACGAGTGCAGCCGAGGGCCTGGACGGCTCTGCAGCTGAAATTTCGCTGGGCTCATCGGCCGCAGAAGCAAAGCTGGAGTCTAGCTCGGCCGACCACCTAGATGTGACAGTTGACAAATGGGACTTGAAGCGGTCAGATGATTGGTCAGGGGTGAGTTCTTGGGGATTGCGATCGGACGAGCCGGCAGATAGTGAAGTATCCACCCATGAGCCTGATGATGAGGGAGCCAGGATTGTAGGATATTGGATGAATACGCCACTGTCCACAATAGCCTGGATGTCTGAGGGTGGCCCGCTGCGAGAAGATGATGTAAGGGAGCGAGAATGGCTGCGGCCGCGAGCCCGGGTGGAGTTGGAGTTTGATCGCACTGATGGATGGTATGGAGGAGTGGATCGGAAAGATTGTGAACGAGAGCTCTGCTCCTCAGAAGATCCGTGAATCCACGGAGCGGCACCGATATGTCTGATCACAGTCCCCATAGAGTTCAACGAGGTCAGCGAGTTAGAACGCGTGGCGGAATCCGGGTTGGAGGCAGGACCAATCCGGACAAAGTTCAAGCTGGAGCTGTCGAGGGCGACAAAGCTGGGACTTGACGGTGGTCCAATGGTCACAACATTAGGGCTTGAGCCGCTCGAGGAAGTATGCTGAACACCTGACGGTTGGCGAGACGGTCCTGGAGTTT